AATTTTTTAATAAATATGTTACACAGTATATTGAACTAGAGTGTATATCAATCATTGTCCTTACTAAATCAAGCCTTAATTTCTATTTAATTTAATGTAACGGACTAGTCACTAGTAATATTGTCCATCTTAAACCACCGCTGCACCTCATAATATTATTAATAAAGCATAAGAAAGATTTAGTATAAAAGTTAATATCTATTAACCCTTATTAACCGCATTTTAACAAGCCATCGGATCCTTAGCTTTTGGAAAGGTTTTTTTTTTTTTTTTTTTTGGTAAAGTAGTACAAGTTTATAATCAAGGACAAAACTTCTAAACGACAGGGAGGGGCCATGGCCTCAAAAATTTTTCAAAACCTTCAAAACTTTAATGGGTAATTTATCTTTTGTCTCTCCAAGATTTTCTTTAAATTAATTGGCCCCTTCAAATTTTTCCTCATATTCCGTCACCGTTTATAAAATAACAGATTTTTGTCTCAGTCATCCAATCATAAGTTGTATTCTTAATTCCTAGATTATGTGGGATTTCTTGTTCAATATGAGAATCTTTATATTAAGCACTTATTTGGGACCCTCTTCAAAAGTAAGAGATGATTAATTAGGAAATGGGCCATGGAATTAGGTAAAGGACTGCCACAAAAATTAAAATAGAAATGCTCTTATGCATAAGAAACAACATGCGCTAAAACACATTATGTAGAAAGCTGACCATCAAGTTCGAGTTAAGGAAATACCTCTGACTTAGGGAAGGGAAGGGTATTCATTAAATCGGACACTTGTGATTAAGACGTTGAGTGTTTTTTTTTTATTTTTTTTATTTTTGGAGTTGGAACTGAAGCTAGATTTTGATTGTTGGGAGACCCCATTTGAATTCCTTTTGAAAAACCTATTTATGATTCCTTAATCCATAGCTATCACTTTCTTATATTTTGCTTTTGCTTTTTTAAGTTGGATTACATCAAGAGAAAATCAAGGTTTTTTTTTTTTTTTAAAGAAATGACAGAAAATGAAGGATCTGACAGATTATTCCCAACAACAAAGTGGTATTGGTTTACATTTCATACCCGTATGCAACTTTGTACGTACAGCAAGATATAAAAGAAAAAAAAACAAAAAAAAAAAACAAATTCTAGTGTCGTACGAAGTTTATGAAATTCACTTTCCTGCTTGATAATAGAAATTTTTATTTTATAATTTAAATTATATTAAATTATAAAATTTTAGTTTTTGGATTAAAAAGAAAAATTCAATATCAAAATATTTTTTTTAATAAATGGATTATTATTTTATAATTTAATATAGTTTGAATTGTAAAATAATTTTTTATTAATAATAATAATAAAATGCATGTTTCAAGACATGCCTTGTTCAACTGTTTGAATATATTCCAAAATCCCTAACCCTATCTTTGGATTGAGGGGATGGAGGCGAGGAGAAGGGAGGAGAGAGAAAATTTTCTTCTCCTTCCTT